GTGTGGCCTTTTGTGTGGTCGCAGTCTTCTTTCGTTGTATAGAAGTTGTTTGACCTTGTTTTCGCAACTCAGTCAAATTTGAACGCACCTAGTCCGGAGTCCATTGTATGCATCATCATTTCCAGAGTAGGACTGTAAACGTGGTACATTTCCAGACGTTTCGCCGGCATCTTAGTCGACATCGTCAGTGAGTCTCACCATTCGTAGCACCGTATTACAACTCGTCAAAGGGACAAGTAAAGCCCATCCTTTGACAAAACGTGTGCTAAACAGTTGTGGTATCTCCCCTTCTGCCCTGAGTTATTAACATTTCCTATATCCTCCTATCATGCTTTCCCTGTAACAATTTTAACCGTGCTTATTTTTAATGTAATGTGGGGTGCCCCTTCGAGCGGCATTCATGAAAACCATTCACACTCCACACTGTCGTTATCACCCCCTTCACCCTTGTGTTGGGAATGTTGACCAGAGTCTGTCATATTGTTACATAGCCCTTCCCTGGGTCCTATCAAAGTCTCCCTCTTGCCCCGTAGAATCCGACTACTATCACCCTCGAACATGTACTTCACTAGACTATTGCTCCCCCCCATCTGTGCTATTCGAGACGTAATTCGTTCATCCGCTAAACCTGGGTGACGGCTTAGAGGCTAATGCCTCAGAGTAAGTCTAATGGTCATGCTTTTGCTACATAGACCACGTATCTTGTAAAACCTACTGTCAGCCAAGTAGCTCCAATCGCCGCCTCGTCTATCCTGTCTCTATCCCTAATACCAAGTCTATGACTTGTCATGCCCTAGTCGGTTGTGTACCAACCTACAAACGTTTGTGGTTCAACATTGAAGCTAAGCAAAGCCAGCAGTATCACAGCATTTGTGGGTTGGCACACAAGCGACTAGGACATAGCAAGTCATAGACTTGGTATTAGGGATAGAAAGAGGATAGAAATATTGGAGGCTAGAGCTAGTTGGCTAATAATAGTCGTGATTCAAGGATCATATTTATGATCAAACACGTCTATTGTTAGCCAAAAAGCTTTAGTCTTTCTTGTTTATATCTGTAATACCATGTCCATCGCTTCCTACGCCCTAGTCTCTTGTGTGCCAACCCACAAATGTCGTGGTTCTACTTGTTTTGATCAGGCTCACTGCTTCTGATTGTTGCTTTCTCATACCCCTGCGATCCTTTTTCCTAAAATTAAAGATATTACCTTGATCCAGTCGTCTTCCTTTTGCTGATCTTACTGTTGTCTGGTCTTCTCCTAGTTTGTTTAGGCAATATGCAAAGTTTTCGCTAATTCTACCTTCTTCACGTCTCCTGTTCATTAAATCTCTCTCGGTCAGTATTTCGATGGTCTCTCGGATCTTGCGTTTTCTTGTAGGTTCACCAGATGCAGCTAACCTTTCGGTCGATTTCGTGCCAAGTTCGTGCAATGTGTTCTGCTATTTCGGATCTTTTCGTATCCATGTTAATGCAGTCTTTAATGTTCCTTGATTCGTAGGCCGACCCACAAATGTTGTGGTACTGCTGGCTTTGCTTAGGTTCAATGTTGAACCACAAACGTTTGTAGATTGGCACACAAGCGACTAT